CCTAGTCTATCCTGAGGGTCTGGCTCTGACCCCAGTGAGCACTCAGGAGGTCCCAGAGGTTCAGTTCTCAAGGATCTTCCCTCCTCAGTCCAAAAATACCCATCAGCTGTCTATCCTGACTTCACTCTCTTCTCTGCTGTGTCTGGCAGGGCCCTGGTTTATTTTTCAAGGACTGAGGTACTCTTCCGGCCGCCTCTCTCCACTCTCAGTCCTGCCCGACACATCCTTAGTTATCCTTCAGATCGCCGTTTAAAGGTCATTTCCACCAGGCCAGGGGGTCTTGCCAAATATCACCATAGCTCAGCAGCCTGTGACGAGGGGTTGGTGCCCCTTCCCTCGTCTGTCTCCCCCTCCAGACTGGGTGCTCTAGAAGATAGAGTTTTGTTAACCGCTGCTTCCCCAGGGCCTAGCACAAGGCCCCATTGGTTTGTTGAATGAATGAAGGATATGGTTGATCTCAGCCAGGTGCAACATCTTTTATCTTCAGGGTCTCTTAATTCTTCTTCAGGGATTCGCATACTCTTTAAAAGCAAATTCTTCTTTCCTCCACTGTTCCCTTGATAACAGTTCAGTTTATAACATTTAATCAGCCGTCCTCTGCTAAGATGCTTTGCTGATAAAGTAGGTTAGGCCACTCCTTTTAGGGATGGCAACCATTTCAGGGCTGTTTGCTCCTATGAGTCTGGGTCAGCTCCAGGATATCATCACCCGCTGGGAGAGAGCTGGGCATATCCAGGCTCCCTCCTAGGGTCCCCCTTCTTCTGAAGTGGACCAGCAGGAATCACTGAGGCTTGGGAAGCCCAAGCCAAGACCCAGGGAATCCCTGGGTCTCACGTGTCAGAAGCTCTGTCCACTAGCCTTGATCTGGGCCTCAGTCCTTAAACCCCAATCCCATTCCTGAAACTGAACCCCACACGTGGATCTTGTCTTTCTCTCTATAGCTAACTGTAACCCTTCGTCGTCTCAACGCAATTGCTCCCATCACACCACCTGTACCACCTCTAAGCTCCACCACTCTTGTCGTCCAAGCCAGGGCCTCACCTGGGGGTCCTCCAACCCCAAACCTTCACTGAGAGCTGGTGGAAGGGCAGCAGCTTCTGGGGCTCCCTGACTTCTCTGTGACTGTGTGTGCCCTGTGCCTCTGTCCGTCCTCTCTAAGCATGGCGTTGTCAATCCCACGGCCCTCCTACTCCCAGACCATTTCCTCTGAGGTTTTCTCTACATGGCCACTCCAAGGGCTGCTTCTCACTCCATGGATGTTGCAGGGGTGAGCCTGGGTCTACAGGGGGACTTGGGAGAGGGGCTCGGGAGCCTGCTGACTCTGTGTGTGAGGGCTTAGAAAGGGTCAAGCTGCAGATCCGGGGCCCTGGAGGGGAAATGGGGAGCTTGAACCTGAGCCTGGGAGGCCTGGGGAGAGGGGTTGGGGGTAGGTCCAGGCAGGTGAGGGGAGAGCCTACAGGCGTTGTGCAGAGTTGCTGTGAAGGGCACTTTGGAGGAAGAGTAGACGGGCCACATCCTTGGCCTGTCCCTCCCCGCGATGTTCTGGGGTTGGGCTGTATCTCCTCTCAGAAGCAATCTCTGGGCTTCTCTGGGTCCTTGTCTCACCTCTTCTCTCTGCTTCTGTACCTCTGTTCACTCCTTTCCAAGCTTCTGTCTTTGTGTTTCTGCTTCTGCCTTAGAACAGAAGCTAATACAACCCAATCTTGGGGGGGGGGGTATGCAGAAGAGAGGGGCCATTCTGCCCCCCGGGGAGCTATGGATTACTCAGGGAAAAGCAAGGGGCCCTTTTGGAAATTGGTGTGCTGGGACCCTGACTGTAGCCTGGGCCCTCTGCCTCCTGTCTCTCTCTCAGCCTCTCGTTGGGCCATTTGGATGGCACATGTGTTTCTCTGCTCCTTTTCTAACCACTGCCTCTCCCAATCTCTTTCTCCCTGGGGGCACAGAGGCAATCCCAATAGTCTCCGAGATCTGTCCAGACCTTTATGGGCCCTGAAAAGGAAGTGGATGGGGCAATGGGATGTTTGGGGCTGAGACTGGTGGGGAAGAAGAGAGGGAGGAGTTGGGGGCGGTGGCCTCCCAGGAATGGGCCCTCTTCCTCTGCTGAGGATGAAGCCCACAGAGTAATGTGAGCTGTGGGCTGGTCCCAGGGGAGGGGCCATGGGCTGGACTTGTGCTATGAAAACTGAGCTGATGCCCCAGTGCCTTCACTCCAACACTGCCCCCTCAAAACCCTTGCAAGGGTCAGGGCACAGGGCAGGAATGCGGACAGTTTCTTTAACGGGCCCCAGATTGCAAGGAGGTGGCAATTAGACGTAGGTGGATCAAAGGAGAGCAACAACGTGCCCCTGTATGAAGCCCTCAAAAGTGGCTGTTCTTCCGAGAGCAGCTAGGCCCTCAGTCTTCCCCAACTCCCGTCTCCTAGACTCCAAAACCAGGACTCCCCTCCTCCCTAGTAAAACTGCCTCTGATGGACCCCGTCTTCCAATTCAATTTGGTGTCAGAGCCCCACTCACTGCTGTACGTTCCTGCATCCCCTCCCCAAATATCCTTCTGGGAGCTTGACCAGGTGGTGAGCTTAGGTCGTGGAGCAGAATTTCAGAGGTTACATTTGTTGTGGGATTCAGTTGCTTCATACCTCTGGGACGGACTCATGTGTATCTGGAGCTCGTGCCAAAATCTTGGGACCCCAGTCAACATGTACCATCGGTATTCTCCCAGAGCAAAGGGATGAAAATTCTAACCAAACTTCGATTTAGTGAATGGAGGCTAAAGTCTTTCTATATCATAAATAAAACCTAAGTTTTGATCCCCATGAATCCTCTGTCCATAAATCTTTAACCCAAGTTCTAACCCTAACCACAGCCTATTCTAACTCAAATCCCAGACTAAAGTCTAACACAGTTATAAATCCAATCCTAAATCAATCTCCCCAGTCTTCAGTTTAGCTCTAACTGTATTCCCAGGAAAAACTCTAAGTGAAGCTAAAACACTATTCCTTATCATAACATGAATCCCAGCCATAAACCCTAGCCTCAGTTCTAGCTGTTGCTCTAGGCTTAATCTCAGTGTTAACTCTCATCCCGACCTCAAATCTGACCTCAACCTCATGCATCGTCCCACCTAACTAACCCCAACCTTAATCGCAGCTCCAGGCTTCATTCCAACTCTAACATCAGCTAAAGTCCGGAACCCAGTTAAACTCCAGCCTTATACTTCAGACTAATGGAACCACGAACTCACTCCTCTCTTTTCAGACTCCCTCTTCCTGGTCCCACCTGTTCACCCCTCCACCCATCACTGACTTTCCCCATGGGTGGGTCTGGTAACACATAGGGTCACCATGCCCTTTTCTTGGTGTACTCTGGATTGAGAGTCAGGACGCCTGCATACCCCCCACTTAGGCCCCAGCAGCATCACCTGTGCTGAATCCTCATGTTTCTCCAGGCTTCTGTTTCCCCATCTGTGAAGTGGAGATAATGATCCCTGCTCTCCAGAGTGTGCAGGGCAACCCCATAATCCTCAAAATAAATTAGGAAATAAGGATCTTCATTGTGTACATTTTGTGGGTCCCAGAGCACCCTGTTATTGTTGGGAGTGCAGCTGGGGGGCAGGAATGCAGAGATGCACGGAGTCCTTGTGCTTCCTTATTGTTCTGTCTTATTTTTTCCCGGGGGTGGGCCCTGGCAGCACCCTGAGCCCCCCCACCCTTCTTGTGCATCTGTCAGCGACGAGGGCAGGCCCTTGATTCCTTTGAGAGGGCTGAGCTGTTGAACAAGGCAACTCATGACCAGACCCCTACCACTGTTTATGGGGCAGTCCTGGAATCCAGGGGAGGCCCAAGGCCTGTTCTGGGACCCCCTGGACCAATGAGCAAGGGCTGGCCCTCCATCTTCTCCCTCTGCCCAGCAGGACCTCCCCACCCCAGCTCCAACCTGCCCAGAACCGTGATGGCTTAGTCACCCGATGCCAGTCCAGGTTATGAGGTTCTTGGTTTCCCTTCCTGTGCATAGAAGCCAGGGCACCAAGCGATTCCTAAAAGAGGGGCACGTAGAGGGGCTTGGCGCTCCTCAACAAAGATGCAAGGACACATCCTGGTGAGGGGGTATACGGGCACTCAGGCACACCCCTTTGCTGGCCCTCCTGGCGCTATTCTTCCTAGCAGCCCCTCACCCACCTGTCCACTCACCTCGCTCACTCCACACACCCTGGTCCCTCTCCTCTCAGGCCTCACTGAACTGGTTTTAGATCTGTGTGGGAGATGGGGGTCTGGATCCCCTGTAACACCCCCAGATCCCAGGGATCCCCTGCACCTGGAGGTGACCTCACGTCAGGTATGGGTGGGGGGCACAGCTCCAGAGGGGGCAGCCAGGGGAAGACCCTGTTCCCCTGCACACCCCTTCCCTCCTTCTTTCAGATCAGGAGGCCTGACTCCCTTTGAAGTCTTGGGGCCCTTTCATCATCCGGGACCTCCCTTCCAGCCCCAGTGACCCCTTCCCTGGTGCCCTTTCCCACAGACTTTGACCTGGGTGGGAGGGGGTCTGGAGGGTCAGGGATAGGAGGAGGGGACCGCAGTTTGAAATGCTGGAGCCTGCGCTGGGCGGGCGTGTCACACACCAGTGTCCTGGGGTCAGTGTGAGCCCTTCAAGGCCTGACCACCATTCCATCCCCAGCTTGGCTTCTCCTTCCTCTTCTCCATTTCCCCTGGGGAAGGAGGCAGTAAATGTGTGGAGAGGGGAGCCCCGTGGACACTGTAAAATTGGGCAACTGTCGTCACCCCGAGGCTGGGGCCGGAAGGAAGTGGACGTTTAACAGGTGCCTAATTACATGTCCCGTTGGCCGTCTTGCAGTACTGTCAGCATAGGGAAGAGCGTGGGGAAGGGCTGGGTAACTCCTGTGTAAGCCACTCTGTCACCCTGCTAATTAGGGCTCCTGGGACTCCTCCCCAAGGCGGGGACCAGGCCCCCCCCCCCCCATAGTAATAACTGGCCGCTCCCTGGCCGGGCCTTCACTGCACCTTCCTGCCACTCCGGGCAGCATCTGGGCCCTCAGCTCCCTCTCCGTCTACTGGTCCCTACAACACCGCTGGCCCCATAGCCACCGGCCCCAGGGATCCCAGCCCAGGAGGACGAAACGCTGAGCCTAGAGACATGAGAGTCCATGGAGCATTCCACCTTCTGCTCGTGTGCCTGAGCCCAGGTATGGGGCTGGGGAGGGGCAGGGGGGGCCTGCATGATGCCGGATGGGCAGGAAAAGGGCAGCGAAGGGCTCACAGAGGAACCTGGAAGGTGGACTGAGATGTCTTCTCACCCTCGCCCTGCTGCTACCGGGGTTTGGATGTTGTCAAGGGGGCCTCTCCCCAGGAGAGCCCTGCACCTGAAAGTTTGGGGCACGTGTTCTTGTATGGTTCTTCATGGTGTCTGTGAACGTGTGGGGCTCATACATGTATGCACATGTTGTGAATGGGAGCATAGCGCTCGCCCTGAGTTACTGGGGGATCTGGGGGTGGGGTAGGAGGGGCAGGTGAGCAGCAAAGCTGGCTGGGGGTTGAGGAAAAGCCTGGGAAAGATTCCCTTTCCATTGGTCTCTGTGCTTCCAGCAGGAGGGCCTCTCCCCCAACCCTGCTTGCCTTGAGAGGGCAGAGCCTCAGGCTGGTGGAGTGTGAGTGGGCCAGGGAGAGCCGGGGCCTGAGACCTCTGCTCAGGGCCCCTGTGCTGTGAGAGTTCCAGGGTAGCACCCACCCCCTCTCGAATAAGCCTGGGAGGGTGTGGAGGGTAACTCCCAGAGCCCCCTCCCTGGGGCACGTCTGGAGGGCAGGGCTCAGGATTGGACATCATGGCTGCCTGCCTGGGATGGGGCAAGTCCCAGCAAGGGCCCATCTGTGTGGGTATTGCTGGAAATGGCTCTGAGACCCTCCTGGGGGTCTGGGTTCAAGCAAAAGGGGCCTGGGGGAGGAGCCAGGAAGGGAGGAATATTTTCAGCCTTGGTGTGAGAGTGTGAGTATGTGTGAATGACTGCATTTCTAGCAGGATGCCTGCAACACCCTCTCTGTCTGGCAAGAGCTGGCCGGGCAGAGCTCACTCAGGAGCTGTGCTGTGGGGACCTGGGACATCTCTGTGTATAGTGTGTCTTAATGTCATAATGCACAAATACCTTCTGTGGGAGCCACCTTTTCTCCCCTCCCTTTTCTTCCCCTCCCTTCTCTTCCCCTCCCTCATCTGCAGAGGGAGGGTTAGGAGCTCTGGAGGAAGCTGAAAAATTCACAAAGGACTTACAAACTTAGAGTAGACATGACTATTGAGGTGTCTCCCTCTTCCCTGGCGAGCCTGTTGTGATTTCCTTCCCTCCCTCCAAGTCTCTGAGCCCACCTGTCTCTCCCACTCTGGTCTTCTTCCCTCCCTCCAGCCTCTCTCTTCTCTCACATGCCCTGGAAATACTTCCTCAGTGCCACAGCAAGAGGAATGAAGGTGAGACACCAGGGACGACTTCCCCAGGAGAGCGAGGGGTGCAGAAAGGCTGGAACCCTTGGCAGGAGGTTGAGAAAGCTTTTAGGGAGACGGAAAGGCTAGGGTGAGGCTCCCTGGCCTGGGACAAGGGCAGACACTCTGCCTAGTGCAGGGTGGAGGCACTCTCTTCCAGCCTGTCCTTCCTTCTCAAGCCCCCTTCCCGGAATACTTACCTTCCTGTCCGGCTGGCTCCCAGGGCATGGAGACCATTCTCTTGTTGTGGGTTGCTTTCGACAGTCCTTCCCCAGGGTGGGGCCTCTGCTCTCTGCTGAGCTCTGGCTCATTCGTGGTTTGCCTTGTGACAGCCCAGGACCTGGCAGATGGCATCAGGATCCTTATCTCAGGAGTGGGCTGGTGTTAGCTTGGCCTGGCGCTGGAGGAGGCATCACCAGGTCCCGTTAAAGTCCCCAGCAGCTAGCCTGCCTGCTCTGGGTTAACCTGGAGCCTAGGGGGCGTTAGGACGTGGCTGACGGCCCAGCCAGGATTCCGAGGGGCAGGTTCAGTGATGCCTGAGTTGTTAAGGGTGTTGAAAGGGTGCCTGCTGGCTCTCTAGAACCAGACTAAGCTTCAGCAGGTATGTCTGGTCTTGCATGAATACACATGCGGGGCTCTAAGTGTGCACAGCGGGTGTGTCTTCTGGATTAATGCACACTTGTGTTTGTGTGTAGATGTGTGTCTGTATGGATTCGACAGTGTGTGTGTGTGAGAAGGTGGGACTGCATAGGTAGGTATCTGCATTTTGAAGGCTTATAAGAGTGTGTCTGTGTGTTGATCTCTTTGGCTGTGACAGTGTGCAACTGTGTGTGTGAGATGCTCTCCAAGTGTGAAGGTGGTCCCAGGAGAGAGCCAGAGAAGGGCAGAGCACGATGAGTTGCTGAGACCAAGGGCTGGGGCTCCAAAGGACCTGCTGCCTCTCACAGGAGGAGAGCGAGCCAGGCTGGGGGAGGGGCCGGCAGAGAGAGGATTGCCGGAGGCTGCGAGGTGGCATGCTGCCAGCCCAGCCAGGGTTGGGGCCCTGGGCACACCTCCACCTTCATATTCCTCTCTAGGTCCAACCGGTTGGGGCTAGCACTTGCCTGGGGCTTCAGGTTAGGGAGGGAGAGATCAGTCCTGAGCTTCCAGATCCTGGCTCTTCATCCCAGGCTGACTCAGTGCGACTGAGGCTGGCAGTAGCGGGAGGGGCCCCAACTGGAGCGAGCACGCGGAGGTGGCCACACGATCACACAAGGGGAAGGACGCAAAGCGCACAATGCCACACGCCTTCACACGAGGCTCACCGGTCCTACAGATGCGTGTGGCCATGGTCCCAGCACCATCGTTCACTATCACACACAGACCCAGCTAGGCTCCCGGTCACAGTCACACACAGGCACGCACTATCACTCAGAGCACTTACACAGCCAGGCACTCACTGTCACCCGGGCATACAGCCAGAGACACACGCTGTCATACACAGACACACAGGGACATACGCATTCTCCTGCTCCTTGGGCTGGAAAGGGACTCCAGGGGCCACAGTGTCCATCCTCCTGCCTCTAGACACGATCACCTCACTTGGCCCAGACAGAGGTGGCTCTTAACCAACGAGCCTCTTCCATCAGAGCATTTAACAAGTCTATGTGCTCCATGTGCCTGTACACACACACACACACGCACACACATGCGCTGTCATGTAAATATATAAGCAGACACTCTACCTGGTCATGTGCATGAATCTCCCTACAGTACACATAAGCAGCCACAGACACTCGTAAACATGCAATGTACATATGTGTATACACCAATACATGGATACACAATCATGCAAACATATAAGCATTCTTTTTTTTTTTTTAAGATTTTTTTGATGTGGAATGTTTTTAAAGTCTTAATTGAATTTGTTACAATATCACTCTGTTTTATGTTTATGTCGCGGTTCCTTGGCCGCGAGGCATGTGGGATCTCAGCTCCCCGACCAGGGATCAAACCCGAACCCAATGCGTTGAAAGGCGAAGTCTTAACCACTGGACCACCAGGGAAGTCCCCCATACAAGCATTCTTAACAGCTATATATATATATATATACAAACTGTATAGATGCAACCCTACACAATCATACAATACAGACATGCTTACACAAGTCTGCATAGACATGCGTCTATCAATTCACGCACACACCTATGCACACGCTCAGAGCAGCCCCTCCTCATTGTGGAACCCTCACTGAGTCCTGGGTTGCCACTGACAGGAATGGTGGAGGGAGGGGGGCTGAAGCTGACCACCCAAGCCCTGGTCCTGCTCCCCTTACCCCATCTGCCCTGCCTGTGTCCTAGCACTGCTGCCCGCTGTGCGGATCAGTGGGAATGAAAAAGAAGTCCTGAACCTGGCAGAAGGTGACAGTGTGAGACTGAACTGCCCCTACATCCTGGACCCTGAGGACTCTGGTTCTGATGCGCTGGGCATCGAGTGGATGCAGGTCAACCCAGAACCCTCACGTCAGGAGAAAGTGGTAGGTGCTGGGCACAGGATTCCCCTTACTCTACACTTCGTGGTATCCACCTGTTGGGCAGCCAGCACCCTGAGGGGAAAAGCAGGGCAGATAAGAAAACCGAGGCCTTGAACTTCCCCCAAGACTTCTCAGAGAATGAGGGAACAGGGAGGAGCTCTGTAATCACCGATCAAGTCAGCCAGTGAGTCAGATTCCTCCCACCCCACTCCAAAGGGAAGATGGGGCACTGTCCTGGCGCAGACAATAGACTTCCAGCTCTGAGGATAGTCTTTGATTTTGAGTGCCAGCCAGCTGCTCTGTGTGCCAGCAGCTTTATACACCTCATCCCATTTAATCCTCACAGGCCCCTGGAAGGTAGACGTTAGGTAGAGAGTGCTTGATCTCATCTGATCTCACACATTCTGTTAAAAGTCAGTGGATCAGGCATCATTGTTCCCATTTTTCAGCTGAGAAAGCTGAGTCTCAGAAAAGTTCAGTGCATTGCCCAAGACAGCCAAACCACAAGGCCTTCCTTGGCTCTCCCTGTCTCACCATCTCTGTTTTCTTCTCTTCACAGTTCCTTAGTTACCGGGACAAGAGCGTCAACCATGGCGACCTCCCCGATCTGCAGCAGAGGGTCCGCTTTGCAGCCCCAGATCCCAGCCAGTACGATGCCTCCATCAACCTCTCGAACCTGCAGGTAGCTGACGCAGCTATCTATGAGTGCCGGGTGAAGAAGACCACCGTGGCCACCCGGACGGTCATCATCACTGTCGCAGGTATGACCAAACTCCTCTGAGCTCCTCTTCCCCAGACGTCAGAGCCAAGGGCGGTTTGGCCACCCTGAGCCTGGCTCTGCCTCTTGGCTGGACCCTGGCTCACAACTGCCCCCTCCCCTGCAGCACGGCCTGTGGTGCCCACGTGCTGGTTTGAGGGCCACATGTCATACGGCCACGATGTGGTGCTGAAGTGCTTTGTCAGTGGGGGCAGCCCGCCTTTCACCTACAAGTGGAACAAGATCAGGGGGAGAACCTACCCCTACCGTGCCAGTTCCTACCAGTCCCAGGACACCTTCCAGTCTGAGTTCTCCTACGACGAGTCCTTCAGCTCCATAAGTCAAGGTGAGGGGACCCGGGGAGAGGGGAAGATTGGGACGCTGGGTCCTGCTGGGGCTTCCCTGGTTCATCAGTGGCACCAAGTCAAACATAAAACCCCTGTGGGAGACCCCTCCTCTGAGCCTGTTCCAGAAGCTGCTATCGAGGGAAGAGGAGGCAAAAGGGGAGAGTCAGTTGAAAGCAATAATGGTTAATTTGGAAAGAGCATGGTCTGAGATAGAGCTGGGCTTGAATCCTGGCTGGACCATAACTGGCTATAAGACCCAGGCAAGTGGCTTCACCTCTCTGTGCCTTAGTTTCATTCTACAGTATATGAAAAGGGAATGATAATGTCTATCTTCCAGGGTCATGTACTGATTAAATGGATGAGGTGTATAAAGCTTCTGGCACAGGCAGAAGCTGCCTAGTACTCACAATCAAAGACTATCAGAGCTGGAAGAGACTTTAGACTTCCTCTGGTGTAACCCTGTACTCGCTGTACAAATGAGGAGACCAAGGCTCAGGGAGGGGACATATTTCCCTAAGGTCACAGGGTGAATTCATGGTTTCTCTCCTGTTGCTGGGAAAGGGTCCCTTCCTTGCCTCTCTGTTTCAGCAGGGAGAAGGTGACTCACCTGGAGAGTGGGGTGGACCTGTGTGTCTGCACACACCCTTCCCTCCTTCCATGCCCCACCCTGCAGTGGTCTAGGCTGGGGTGAAGCTCTCAGAGACCAGGCCCCTCGGCCTCACCATAGCCCTCTGATGCTCCTTCAGTTTCAGGCATGAGCCATGGTGAGGTGGTGTTGCTGGACATCTCCCACAACGATGATGGGCTGTATCAGTGCACAGTGGCCAACCGTGCAGGCCACAGCGTATGTGTGGTGGAGGTGAAGGTCTCAGGTGGGTGCAGGGGCAGTGGCCCTGGAGGCCCCGTGGCTGGGAGGGTTGGACTGGAGAAACTTGTGCTGTATATTGGAGCCTCAGCTGGCTTTGCCTTCCCACTGCCATCAGTGCATAGCTCTGCCAGGGGCAGCTGGGAAGCCCTGGGAGAAACATGCAGACATGAGGGGTTAACTTGCATCTCTCCATATATTCCTCCCTGTGTGTCCAGGGGCCCTGAGATCCCCTGGGTCCCCCATCCTCTTTCCCACAGACACCCTGCCCCTGCCACTCCTGGTTAGCCAGGCATCTGCCAGTCTGCAGAAAGCCTGACTAATCTTTATTTCTCTCCCCAGGAGGCTGGCACATAGGAATAATCATTGGCATAGTGCTGGGCTCTTTACTCTTGCTGGGCTGCCTGATGTTGGGCATCTGGTGGCTCGTCTGCTGCTACTGCAGGCGGCCCCGCGGTGCCTTCTGCTGCCGTGGCCAGGTCCGCAGAAATGCCTGCTGCGACTTGCCTAATGATATCAGGTAAAATCTGATGCATGCTGCAGGGGGCTGGCGCCCTGCCCCTTCTCACCCCTGCCTGCCACCGGCTGGCTGGGACCCCCACCCCAACCCTGCCTGCCATCGCCATGGAGTGCTGGGACCTCAGCATGTTGACCGGCCACCCGTCATATGTTTTTTCTCTCTCCCCCTTCCCATGTCCAGTCTTCACTTCTGCTTCCCTGCCCTCCATCTCCCTCCCGTCTTTGCACCTGTCTGTCTGTCTTATCTAGACTGTAAGCTCCTGCAGGGCAGGGCCTGTATGTATTTTCTCACTTTTCCCCTGTATTGCACCGGTGAGAACTCTTGGACATGCTTACTTAAGAAGAGTTAATTAATATAAATAACAGCGCTAATAACTTATATTAGAAACAAACTAGAAATAAAAATAGAACAAGACTAGCAGTGCTAATGATTGCAATGCCCTGGGTATGGAGGAAAAGAGGGAGAAGATTAAGAGGCAGGTGAGGAGAAGAGAGAGAGAGAGAGAGAGAGAGAGGGCAAGGTCAAGGTTAGTTAAGGAAAGGACAGGGAAAGCAGCTCCCTCTGGATCTCCAAGGTGACCTCTCTATCCGAGCCGGTGGTCCTGCGAAAAGATCAGAAGGGGAGTGGAGGGCGCCTAGATGGGGCTGCCTGCCTACCGTGGGCTGTCCGGACACGTGTGGACAAGCCCTGTCTGGAGGGTGGGGATGGTGCCCCCGGGGAGTCCTGCGGGGTCGCTGGCCCAGGAAGAGGCAGAGAAAAGAGTAGGTCGAGGCTGAGGTTGAGAGGCGAGGGGAGGCGGAGGGAGGCGCGGGAGAGGAGAGGTTGCCAAGAGCCCCCGGCTCTGCCCAGGCCGTGCCCACGCCGCGCGGCGGAGGAGCCCGCTCACCCGCGCGCCTGCTGTTTTCCACAGAGAGGACGACGTGGCGCCCGGGTGCAAGGCCAAAGGGCGCGGCAGCAGCGTTACCCACATCCTGGGGTACCCGATGCAGAAGATCAGGCACTCCCTGAGCCTCAGACACGCGACTCCTCACTGCGAGGGCCCCGAGCACTTGGCCCTGGCGTCCAGCGCCGCCGCCGCCGCTCTAGACTGCAAAGCGGACCAGTCCCGGGTCTACGTCAAGGTCCAGAGTGCAGAGCCAGCCGCCTGCGCCGCCGAGGGGCCGCTGCCGTGCAAGGATGGCCTCCTGGTGTGAGCGCGCGGCGCCCGGCTCCTGCCCGGCCAGGAGGAGGGTGCGGGCTCTGCCTGCAGCTGGGGACGCGCTCGGGCCGGCGCCGACCTCGCCTGCCCAGGGCCGCCTGGCGGCAGGGAACCTGGAAGAGTTTCCCTCGGGAGCTGAGTTGGGCGGCTGCGCCTCCTCCCCTAAAGTGGGAGGGGGAGGAGGAGGGAATAGAGGCCATCTCGGCCCTCTCCGCATCCCCGCGGCCCTGAGGCTCGGGCAGAGGGAGGAAGGAGGAAGTGTCCGAGAGCGCTGGAGGCCGGAGACCAGGTGTCCCCAGCCAAGGCAGAAAGACCTGGGGGCCGGGTGGGTGGGGGTCTGGACTGAACTGTGCGTGTGAGGCCTGAGCTCCGAGGCGGCAGTGTTAGCACAATAAAGAAAATGTAAGACTCGAGACTGAGGTGACTGTGGTTCCACGGAGGGTTGGGCATGGGGTCAGGGTGGTGGGCCCTGCTCAGGGATGTGGGGGGGCGTTGCTCCCTCTGTCGTCCCGCATCATTTCTGCACCATTTCCCCCCTCCCCCTCCTTAGATCGGGAACAGTTAGAGCTGGAAGGGGCTGTCTAATCCTATTCCTTCCCTAGGCAGATGGGGAAACTGAGACTCCTCAGGCTTGATTTTAAATCCAGAATCCCACTTTTCTCTTTTATTCCAGAAATCAAAAGAAAGGAAACAAGGTACTGGCAGGGATGACCTCTCTGAATATTCCCTGACCATTCTCAGCATCATCCTTCCTTCTCTCCTTACCTACGAAATCTTGACTTCCTTATCTCTCCCAGATGTATGCCATCCTTCTCAAAAACCGGGAAGGGTTTCAGAGTCATACTCTGGGGGTAGAAAGACCAAATTCATCTAACCTAGTCCCTTTTTTAATGGAAGGGGGATTGACACTTATTGGGCACCCTCTGAATTCCAGGTACTTTCCCATATTTTGTCTAATTTAATCCTTGCTTTAATCCTATGAGGTGCAGTATCCATTATATAGATGAAGAAACTGAGGCTCAGAGGATCTAGTTATCTTAACCAAGGCCACATATGTAATAACAGGTTTTGATCCAGGCATGTCTGACTCTGGGACATCAGGCTTTTTCTTTGACATTTGGATTCCTTCTACTGCATTCCTGACAAAAGATATTTTCTTGACAAAAGACCTCTTCTTGAATACCTGCAGTGGCATCTCACTACCTCCCAAAGCAATCCATTTGGCCTCTGATGGTCAGAGATATATCCATATTTCTCCTATTCAACCCAGTTTTGGACCCCACATAGTTTTTATCCCTTGGTCCAAGTTCTACTCTTAGGGAGCCCTAAGCATCACATTTCCAATTCAGCTGCCTCTAGTGGACCAAGTGGCTGTACTCCATACAGGATGACTGCAACAGGCAAAAAAATGGACCGATGCCTAGTCTAGGGGTTGAGGGTCTTCTGAAGAGCATAGTACTTGAAGGTCACTCTGTTCTACCTGCCTCTGCCCTGTTGCCATCTGCCTGTTGAGAGCCCAGGCACTTCCTTTTCTTTTTGCCTCTTCTTCTCTTGAGGAGAAGCTGGGCTTCCTGATTCTTTCTGCTTCTACCCTGTGGCCATGTGAAGTGTGGGGTATGGATGGACCTCAGAGTTTGTTGACAGAGGAAGCCCCCAAACCCTGCTTGGTTGTACATAACTAGGAAACCCTTCTGGTTGGCTTGGGTATTTGCAAAAGCGTGATGGCATCTCTGGTTCTGCCTTGATAGAGCTTGGGAAGAGAAAGTAGAGATGATGATGGGACAGAGGGAGCCAGGGACAAACGTCTTGGAGTGAGGGTGGGGAGGTGGGGATTACTGAGGATGGATGAGGATACAGCGGGTAAGGGGATTAAGCAATGAGGGGAACAGAACTGCAGGAACCATCCATCCCCTCATTTATCTGGAAACATTTATGAGCACCTATAGGATGATTTGTTCGTAAATAGTTAGAGCTTTTGGGCTTCCCTGGTGGCGCAGTGGTTGAGAGTCCGCCTGCTGATGTAGGGGACATGGTTCGTGCCCCGATCTGGGAAGATCCCACATGCCGTGGAGTGGCTGGGCCCGTGAGCCGTGGCCGCTGGGCCTGCGCATCCGGAGCCTGTGCTCCGCAACGGGAGAGGCCACAACAGTGAGAGGCCCGCATACCGCAAAAAAAAAAAAATAGTTAGAGCTTCAAGCAGGGCACTGGGCCTGGCACACTTTTGCCCTAAGGCAGGGGATTGAATAGGGTGACTTGGGGAGGTCTCTCCCAGTCTGAGGAGCCTCCAGCTCAGCTTTCTGCAAGGAGGTGAGGGACAGAGTCAGTCAGCTGTACAGGTTGTGTTGAATGACATCATCTTCCCCATTCTAGCAAGCAGGGAGCTGGGCTCAGGCTTAGCCTTCCTTTGAAAGGTGAGAACAGCGAGGCTCTGGCAAGAAAAGCTCATTAAAGAGCCGTAAGAGATTTTAGAGAGACTCTGCAAACAACTTTTGGCAGAGTGACTCAACAGAGAAGCCAGGGGAGGTCCCGAATCCCTAAATAAATTATCACTGCACTTATCACCTCTGGGTGAGGAGGGAGGGAAGTTTCTGCTTCTAAGGTTTTGCTTCAGGAACACCTTGACCTTTTTTCATTTCTCCCGCGTGAAACCTTGTCAGTGTTAGAGGAGAACAATTTCTGGTGGTAAATGTTTACCAGTGGCTTTGGGAGCGAGGTTGAGGGTATAGGGGGCTGGGAAGCCCTGATGTGTATCATGTGCTATTTCCCTGAATAAAATTCTCCTATCATGGCTGCTTTCAGGCTACCAGCGTGATGTCCTGGTATGGAATCCTGAGAAATGTGCAGTATCACACCATCCCTGCCGAAGTAAATAACCTCAAGAACTGAGACAATCATGAACTATAGAAACTAATTAGGAAGGGATGAATTTTGAGTACTTATTTCCTGTGTCTCAGAAGAATTCACTTAATTGTAAATTGATATAGTTTAAATTTTAATAATGGCAGCCTTTAATGATTGGCTTGCAAAACTTAGGCAGACCACGTCCCCAGGCAGGCAGAAGGCTGTGTACACAAATGTTGCTTCAAGAGAGGGAATCTTGGGGCTTCCCTGGTGGCGCAGTGGTTAAGAATCCGCCTACCAATGCAGGGGACACGGGTTCGAGCCCTGGTCAGGGAAGATCCCACCTGCCGCGGAGCAACTAAGCCCGTGCGCCACAATTACTGAGCCTGCGCTCTAGAGCCCACAAGCCACAACTACTGAGCCCACATGCCACAACTACTGAAGCCCGCACGCCTAGAGCCCGTGCTCCGCAACGAGAGAAGCCACTGCAATGAGAAGGCCGCACACTGCAACGAAGAGTAGCCCCAGCTCGCTGCAACTAGAGAAAGCCTACGCGCAGCAGCAAAGACCCAACACGGCCAAAAATAAATAAATAAATAAATAAATAAAGAGGGAATCTTAAGTTCAGTCTTGATTTTTCTCATTTTTCCAGAGAGACACAGTCAGCACCAAGTCAGTTGTATTCATCCCACTTCCTAGTTCTGCCTTTTTGTGTCCCAGCCTTGCGGAAACTGAATCCTAGTTCCTCTGGTCGATGAAAACTTATTCAGATAATTTATATGTCCTTGGTAACCATCAGAAACCTAACTTGGCATCCACAGAATTTCCGTGAATGGGTCTCCCAGGGCATCCAACTCTGGAAAATCTACTCAAGGGACATTCTGAGTCCTTCTTGACTCAGTTCCTTCTCTAATCCTCTTGCTTAGGTTTTAGGAAGTAATTCTCTAGTCATCGTCTCCTAAACCTGAAATTCTCAAGAGCATGACTGTATGGAATCCCGGTGATTTTTCTTCTGTGCTCCTAGTAGAATAACTATCCTTGCTGCCCTGTTACATTTCAGTTACTCTAGGCCCAGTCACATTGTGTGACTCTGGGGAGGGATTAATTTTTTTTTTTTTTTTTCCATGCTTCACTAGAAACAAAGGGGTTTTGAGAATTCATTACCCAGTCACAACTCAGGGAGGTTTAGCCCTGTAGCCTCTGCTCCAAGGGAGCCTCGGGTGAGTCTCTGGAGTTTACGCTCTTTGTTTATCCAGCCCACCTGGAGGAATCATTTCATTTATTCCTGGTGTATGGAAACAAAATTGTTTCCACTCAGTTCCTTGCAGTTAGATTAGGAAAAACATGGCAAAGGGAAAGAATGTTGAGAGACGTGGAACTGTACAGGCAGGGAGATGGTGGCTGCTTTGGAGAATCTGGAAAAGCATGGGCGTGGTCTTTGTGCCTGCCAGTGAGAAGAGGACAAGATAGTCTTCTGCCACCCTTCTGTGGCCATTGCCCTCAGCAGTCTTCCCAGGTGTATTTTATTTTATTTGTTTTTTTAAATTTATATTTTTATTAATTTATTTTTTCCGGTTATATTTTAGAAGGACAGCAGGGTGGGACACTGTTAAGGAGGAGACTGAAGCCCTTGACAGAGGCAGGACATTGAGCAGAGGAGGATGGAGTGAAGCTTTCGAGCTCATTTTTATAGTGGCTGAGTTTGAGGTGATGGTGGGCCCATGCTGGGTGTCTTGGGGAGAAAAGAAGGAAAAGGGGGAGGAAGAAAACTTGTACTAAACATTTGTGATTTAGTCATGCCCACATATGCAAAAGAAAAGTCCTCAGTTTTGGATTCACACAAACCTAGATTCCTTGTTATTATTAAGCTCCCAAAGCCTTAATTTCTTCATCTTTAAAATGGAATAGTAATAGGGCTGTTTTGTGTGACGTGCTTACAGAGCCTGGTACATAGTAGGGGCTCTGTGAATGGTTGATCCCAAGTCCCTAGTCTTCAATGTAATTTCATCTCCCAGAGGAGGGCAGGCCTGGAGGCAGAGATCTAACCACATAGGGGTGGGGGGTGGAGGCTGAGGCAGTGGGAGGTCCAAGGCAGGGAGGGAGTGAGGAGAATGAAGCCTTAGGATTGAATTTGGAGATGGCTCACCACCTGGGGGATGAGTCAAGCAGCCCAGGAAGCAGCAACTAGAAAAGTAGGAGAACCAGGCCTTGCTTCTGAATCCTGGGAGCCACGTGCATGTATTAATATTGATGACAGTCCTCTTTAGTAATGGTGATACTAATAATAACAGGAAGCGCCTGAAACACAAGCTCGGCAGGGTCCGGAGCCAGGCATGAGGATGAGCTGCGAGAATTCTCAAGGCCCCTCCTTGGACCAGGGTGTGCCCACTGGGCCCAGTGCCCACTGCGGCACCCCATGGAGCACTGACCTGACAGCCCCTCCAGCAGGGTCTCCACACAGCTTTCCCAAAGCTGAGGAGAGACCCTCCCAGCTGAGGGCACAGAGATTTTCTTCAACGTTTTTGGGAGAATCAGTTCCACCTTGGAACTGAGCTCCTTCAGTGACGACAGG